GTGTGTGTGTGTGTGTGTGTGTGTGTGTGTGTGTGAGAGAGAGAGAGACAGAGACAGAGACAGAGACAGAGAAAGATGGAGACTCTGGGGTCTCATCTCAGCGTGTCCCTGTGTCACACTTCAGTGTTTCTAGAAGAGGGGGGTCACAGTGGGAGAGTGTGTCTGCAGTGACTGCCTGTCTTTGTGTGAGTTTGTGTCTGCTTGTACGTGCACATTTGAGGCTATCTGAGTGTCTCTGGGCTGGACATGCCTACATTTTCAGGTTGTGGTGGGCGTATCTGCCAGCTTGCTGAGTGTGCCCCTGCCTCAGTGAAGAGGCTTCGCCCATTTCATTCGGGTCTGTTGCGTGATGTGTGGCATTCCGATAGATGTCTTAGTGCATTTGGGGCTGTTGGGGTGGCATGAATCTTGGGCTTCTGTGTTGGGGGCTGAGTCTGGTTTTCAGCCCATGGCCCATGTGTTCGTGTGACTGAGATTGGGGGTTGTCTGTCACATGCGTATTTGCCTCCTGAGTTCCGGGGGGTCCTCTCTCTAGCTGTATGTCTGTCTCAATAGATATAACCCATTTGAGGGACAGAAAGTGTTTCTGGGTTGGGTTTCTCCTTGTCATCTTGGGGTCATATGGGTGTGTCTGTGACCCAGCTGCTTTCCCAGCAGGACGTGTTCTGGGTGTGGAATGGTCAGTGGAGTCGTGATTGAGCCCTGTCTTCTGAGGTGAGAAAGTCCCCAAAAGGTGTGGAGATAAAAATTCTCCCTTGAGAAGGAAACTACCTGGCCATACCCAGGCTTCAGGCCATGAGGCACTCACCCTCCACCTCCACTTTTACATACAAGGCAGCCTGGACAGGACCCTGTTCCTCTTTGCTTCCCACCTCTGAAATTCTAAGCCAGAGAGGGCAAGGACCTGCCCGGGACCACACAGCAAGTGGACACGAGGACCCAAGTGGACACGAGGACCCAGGTCTTCCAGCTCGGCATCATCCCCTGCCCCAACCCCCATGCCAGTTGATCCCACCCCCCAAGCCTTGCCTTTCTTGCCCTGCTCCCAGATTTTTAGAGACTCATCCTGCCTTCTCTTTTCATGCCTGGGTCTGGGGACTCTGAGGAAGGGGAAGGGGACAAAGGATTTGGCGTGGGAGTGAGCAAGGAAGCTGGACCTGGGGGCTTCTGGATGGGAGGTGAGGTTTAGGTGTGGCAAAGACCCCCTCATTTGCATCCGGATTCTGGGTATATGGGGACAGTGGGACACAGGATGCCCCCACGTGTGAAATGTGATGCTGAGTGAACTGCGGGTGTCAGTGTTGACATGTGGGTGCCTCTGTGTGTGGGTCTGGGAGGTTGTTTTGCTGTCATAGTGTCACCCTGTGTGTCTGCTGGACTGAGATCTGGGGACATGAATGTCTTGTTGCTGCATTCACTGTCTCCGTCACACTATTATTTGGGGCTTTGGGGTCCTGTGTGTGTCTCCTCATGAGGTTGTGTTGTTAATGCGTCCAGCTCTGAGGGGCCTGAGATGTGTAATTATGTTGTGCAATGCAGGTTTGTTGAGATGATGTGACCTCGTGTCTTGGGCAGCCTGTGTGTGGGGTATCTGCGTTGGTGGCCCCCTGCAGGAAAGTGGTACTCCGGTGTGCCTGTGTCCCAGTGTGGCTGGGTATCTGGTGGGTGAGTGGACGTCTGTGTGACATGTTTTCCGTGGGCATGTGTGTGTGCACACGTACCTCTGGACTGTTCTCAGATGGACATGGGCATGGATACAGGGAGGGGACACAGGGATGTGAAAGGTACAAATATATGGGCAGACACACAAGCTCAGCCTGAACGTGGCAGGGTGAGGTCACTGGGGGGCTGCAGGGAAAGGGTTCAGAAGATGGAGCAAGGGGCAGGGAATAGGAGAGACAAGAGCCTGGGCTGTTTCAGGTTCCTCTGCAGGAGACCAGAGACCCCCTGGGGTAGTGGGGGGGGGACTAATGCGGGGAGATGCCCTTCCCTCCCAGTTCCTCCTCAGTCATGGGTGCGGGAAACTGGTCCCTCCACCCCCAGATGCTGGGCCTGGGGGAGCTGTGCCAGGGCCAGGGACCAGGCTGGAAGTACCAACCCAGAGACCCTGGTGACCAGGTTCTCTCCCACTATTTGGACAATTTTGGGACTGGACGCCAGGGGAGGAGGTTGGGAGAGTGGAAACCGGCCCCCCGAGAGATGCCTGAGGCCAGGCAGCTGCCCCTTAGACCTAGAGTCAGGGGAGAACTTGATACCTTCAGGCTTCCTGGGTCTGGTAGAACTGGCAGGACCCAGAGTCCCAGACTTGGTGTCCTGACTCAGGGCTGCTCCCTGCCTCCCATCCCAGGGTTTGCCTTCCCGGATTGGGCCTACAAGCCGGAGTCGTCCCCTGGCTCGAGGCAGATCCAGCTGTGGCACTTTATCCTGGAGCTGCTGCAGAAGGAGGAGTACCAGGGTGTCATCGCCTGGCAGGGGGACTATGGGGAATTCGTCATCAAGGACCCAGATGAGGTGGCCCGGCTCTGGGGCATCCGCAAGTGCAAGCCCCACATGAACTACGACAAACTGAGCCGGGCCCTGCGGTGAGGAGGGGCTGGGGGCCCGAACTCCTACCTTGCCCTCTCTCCCTTCACTGTCTCATTGGTGTCCGGCTCCTTGGGGATTCTCCTTCTGCATTCTGGGGCAGATTCCTGTTGGAGCCCAACAAGTGTAGCTACTATAATTACTAGTGAGGAGGGAGGCAAGAAGGAAGGACCCAAGTCCTGGGCTTTGGACTCACGCAAGGCAGGATCCCAGCTCCTGCGTCACCCTTTCCCCACTCTGTAACTTTGGTTAAGGGACTTCCATGGGCCTCAGTTTCCCCAAGTTGCTGTCTGTGCGCTGTGCCTAGCACAGAACACGCGTTAAGAAACTTGAGATCCCTCTCCTGGGCTTTCCCTGCACCTCCCCCATGTCCCTGCCCAGCACCACCCGCTCTCCCCACAGTTACTACTACAACAAGCGGATTCTCCACAAGACCAAAGGCAAGAGGTTCACCTACAAGTTCAACTTCAGCAAAGTCGTGCTTGTCAATTACCCACTGTTGGATGTGGCGGCAGCTGCCACTGGTTCCCCACTCTTGCTGACCCCCAGCCCCTTTGGGGGGGCCCCTGGGCCAGACGCTCCTCCTCTCACCCCTGAGGTGAGTTTGGATACTGGGGTCCCAGAACTGGGGCGTTTGGTGACCCCCAATCATGAACCCCCTGGGGAGGGGACAGGCGGTCTGAGCAGTGCGGCCTTCCCCACCTCCTTCTCCAGACCCTACAGACCCTGTTCTCTGCCCCACGCCTGGGAGAGCCAGGGGCCCGGACGCCCCTGTTTACTCCTGAGACGGACAAACTGCGACTGGACAGCTCTTTCCCATTCCTGGGCTCTGGTAAGAGCCTGGAGGTTCTGGGGTGCTGGGCGGGGCAGGGAGAGATGCTGCATGTGTTTGAGGGAAGAGGATGAGAAAAGACCAGAGGAGAGACAGGATGAAAGAGGGAAGCCGAGGGTGAGGCTGCGGGGAGTGAGTGTGTGTGTGTAAGTAAAAAGCAGAGAAGGATGCAAGGCAGGGGAGGAGGGACATGAGACAGGGACAAACTGGGAGAAAGGTTTTCAGGTGCTCAAGAGATGGGGAGGCAAGCGAGGGAGGTCGAGGATGGAGGTGGGGAAGCCATATGGAGGTACGAGATACTGTGTGGGAAGGACATGAGGTGGGAGATGAGATGGCAGGGAGGTGGCCCCCTTTATTAACCCTCACAGGCAGGCCCCCCACCATGATGGATTGGCCCAGGCTGAACCACCCTGTGTCCCCCAGGTGCCACCGGCTATTCCAAGCCCTCCGGCCTGCTGGGTCCTTATGGTCGCGCCTTCCCTGAGTACCCCTGGAACTTTAACCCGTACCTCACGGGTCCCTTCCCCAAGCTGCCGCCTTCTCTCTACCCCCCACACTTCTACCCAAACCCTCTGGCCAGTTCCCTGGGCCATCTGCCCTCGGCAGGGGCAGGGGGAGGCCCCACAGCTGCGCCCCTGCTGGCTTCAACAGGGGAGGTCCTGGGCCCCGAGCGTCCTGCTGGCCTGGCAGCAGCCCCCCGCCTGGCACTTCCGGGGGCTGGGGGTGCAGAGGCTGCGCTGGGTGGGAAGGAGGACAGCGACTCGGAGCTGGAGATTACCGACGTCAGTGGCTGCAGCTCTGACAGTGAGGGTGATGAGGGCCTCCCGGTGCCCCCCAAGGCCAAGGCGGGCAAAGGGGGGACCGGAAGCTGAGCTGGTGTGGGGCGATGGATTCTGCCAAGGTGGGGACCAAGGCGGCCACCCATCTGCCCTTGATGCCCTGCCCGAGGCCCAGGACCAGCCCTCGACACCCTCCCAGGACTGGGCACGTCGTTGCGCCAGTCTCCTCTCTTCCCCAACCCCAGAATGGAGGGACTTGCCTCTCCCTCTGCAGAGGGAGGGAATGTGATGGCCTCCGGCCTCCTCCCCAAGGCTCCAGTTTGAGGGGGGTCCCTGCCTGGCCCCACTCCCAAAGTGCAATATGGCGCCCAGCCTCCCCCACCCACCCCTGTGCTGTGACCCACGTGTTTGTGTGGCTGTGTCTCTGACCCCCTGTGCCGCCCCAGTCCTGATACTCTTCCACACAGGTCCCCCTG